CTCCCTCCCTCCCTCCCTCCCTCCTTCCTTCGTTCTCTCCCTTTCTCACACACATACAGTAGTGGCCAAAATTGTGGAAACCTTTTGAGAAAAGTGTACAGTAGAAATGCCACCTTTGGTTAAGTTTCCACCCATTTTTCTTCTAATTTCTTTATAACTGTAGCCTTGTTTACTTAATAATACTATTTTACATCTTTTTCTGGGCGACCGGTCAACTCTTTGCACCGTTACTTTAATTTTATCACGTTTTACAAGCTCACTCAATGAAAGAACACAAAAAACCCCCACCAACTGGATAGCGATCCCATAAGACTCTGACAAATGTCCTCCTCTCAGCTTCAATACGTGACATCGATAACCGGATCCTACTGTGATCTGATTGGCTCCTGGCCAAAACAAGATGACACCCGATTGGCTCTCTAAACGCTCATGCTCATTGGCTAGCATCAGAGGAAGGAAAGCTACCTGAGATCAACCTAAGCAAGTTGTGCTTCCTTTTTCTGGTTCTTTGGCTATAACTTTTCATAGAATACAGCACAGATAATTGAACAGACTCGGTTGCATTACATTCTTGATTAAATGATCTTTCCATTGATATATAATTTTATGGTACTACTCCCCCCAAAAAAGGGGGGGTGTTATTAGCCATCCAACCTCAAAAATACACTTTTCCCAAAAAGGTTTCCACAATTTTGGCCACTACTGTGTTTGTGCTTTTATGGGTAAATGGATCATAGCCTCTGTTCTCATGCTTTTCTCCTTTCTTTCTTATTTTTTGGACTCTGAACCTTCTTTTTTCCCAAATCAGGAAATATTATAAATATATCCTGACTCGCAACTTTGAGGCGCTGAACTCGCGCGGTGGCGGGAACCAGGTCTCCTTGCTCAACATCATGATGGACTTGAAGAAATGCTGCAATCACCCCTACCTCTTCCCCGTGGCTGCGATGGTAGGTTGGCCAGCTCAGTGGGTACCAGAGGATTTTGGGGGAAATCAGGGCAGTTTGCTTGGCTTGGCAGGATTGCCACAGCCCTCCCCCCCGGGGACAGGAATTGTGGCCTTTAGCCTAGGGTTCTGTTTTGCGAATCGCACTAGCAGGTGGGCAGCTTCTCAGTGGAGAATGCAAAAGAAACTCATGGATAAGTTTGGAGATTTCCATTCAATCTTCTATGAAGAGATCTTGGTAGCTCAGGGTTGGGGTCCTCTCTGAGCTGGGTGGTGGCTTTCTTGCAGACGTTTCATGACCCAACTAGGGAACGTCATCAGTGCGAGAAGGGAGTGTGGGAAGAGGAGGAGGAGGAGATTGTGGGGTCCTGGGTGCTCTCTGAGCTGGGTGGTTTCCTTGCAGAAGTTTCACGACCCAACTAGGGAACATCATCAGTGCTAGACGGGAGTGTGGGAGGAGGAGAAGGAGGAGATTGTGGGGTCCTAGGTGGTCTCTGAGCTGGGTAGTCTTCTTGCAGACGTTTCATGACCCAACTAGGGAACGTCATTAGTGAAAGAAGGGAGGGGGTTTGCAGAGAAGAAGAAGGGAGGAGGAGGAGGGAAGGAAGAAGAAGAGGAGGAGGAGGAGAACTGTGGGGTCCTTGGTGTTCTCTGACCTGGGTGGTTTTCTTGCAGACGTTTCATGACCCAGCTAGGTAACATCATCAGTGCTAGAAGGGAGGAGGGTCGTAGGAGTAGGAGGAGGAAGAGGAGAAGGAAGGGAAGGATTGTGGGATGGGTTGCTTTCTTGCACACATTTCATAAATGCCAAGCTCAGAGAGCACCAAGGACCCCTCCCCTCTCCTCCTCCACCCCCACCTCCTCCTCCTCCTCCTCCTCCTCCTCCCTGCAATCCCTTCCAGCACTGATGATGTTCCCTAGTCGGGTCATGAAACGTCTGCAAGAAAACCACCCAGCTCAGAGAGCACCAAGGACCCCTCGGTCCTTCTCCCCCCCCCTCCTCCTCCTTCTTCCCTCCTCTTCTCCTCCTCCTCTTCCTCTTTCCACTCCACACACCCCACTCCCTTCTAGCACTGATGAGGTTCCCTAGTCGGGTGGCGAAATGCCTGCGAACCGCCCAGCTCAGAGAGCACCAAGGACTCCCCGCTGAATCTCGGGAGACGACAACGACCGATCCTTTCCCTCCTCCTCCTCTGAAAACGGAAACCCAGAACCCGTCGTCCGGTGTTATTCCCCACCCGACGACGAGTGACCGTTGTCTCCTTGTCCTGACAGGAATCTCCCAAGCTGCCCAGCGGTGCCTACGAAGGGGGGGCTCTCATCAAGGCCTCTGGGAAACTGATGCTCCTGCAGAAGATGCTGAGGAAGCTGAAGGAGCAGGGACACCGAGTGCTGATCTTCTCCCAGGTAAACACGGGCTCAGGTACGCAATGCCTAGACCGGGGGGTGGAATCGGCGAGCTTTTGGTCGGGGGGGGGTGACAGCCTTTGCCAGAAAAATCACCCCACACTCACTGACCCAGAAGAAGGCTGAGGCCTGAGAAAGAGGGCAGAGAACAGCAGCGAAAATGATCAGGGGGTCTGGAGGGCAATTCGTCTGGTGAATGGCTAAGCTTGGGGTCTTCAAACTTGACCCTTTGATGACTTGTGGACTTCAACTCCCAGAATTCCTCAGCCAGCATGAGGGAACTATAACCCTTTTATGACTTGTGGACTTCAACTCCCAGAATTCCTCAGCCAGCGTGAGGGAACTAGGACCCCTTTATGACTTGTGGACTTCAACTCCCAGAATTCCTCAGCCAGCGTGAGGGAACTATGACCCCTTTATGACTTGTGGACTTCAACTCCCAGAATTCCTCAGCCAGCGTGAGGGAACTATGGCCCCTTCATGACTTGCGGATTTCAACTCCCAGAATTCCCCAGCCAGCACAGCAGTTTCCCTTGGAACTGCCAGGCCATCTAGCTTACCTTTAACTCGTTGATCAATTAACTTCTGGATTATTTTTTTTTCAACTTTGCTGAAGTCAAGTTATAGTATGTCGATCTGCCTTCCCGCCATCTACTAAGAAAGTTACCCATTGAAACAAAAATGATATTTGTTCCTCTCCCATCCATGCTGATTTCTGATCAATCTTCACTGGCTGGGGGCATTCTGGGAACTAGGACCCTTTGGTGACTCGCGGAGGGAGGGGAGGAAGAGGAGGAGGAAGAGGAGGACAGAGGGGTCCTGTGTGCTGTCTGAGCTGGGTTGTTTTCTTGCAGACATTTAATGACCCAACTAGAGAACACCATCAGTGCTAGAAGGGAGAGGGATTTGCTTTCTGTGTATATACTGTACCAGTGGCTTGGTCTGTCTGTGTTGATGTTAGTGGTGACAAACAGAGTGCAAACCCCACTCCCTGCTAGCACTGATGAGGTTACCTGGTTGGGTCACGAAAGGTTTGCAAGAAGACCATCTGGCTCAGAGAGTACCAAGGACCCCACAGCCCTCCTCCTCCTCCTCCTCCTCCTCCTCCTCCTCCGCAAACCCTACTTCCTCATAGCACTGATGCCGTTACCTAGTTGGGTCACGAAACGTCTGCAAGAAAACCACCCAGCTCAGAGAGCACCAAGAACTGAGATTGCCTCTTAAAGGTGCCCGGGGGGGGGGGGTCTCAGCCCCCTCTGTAAACCTGCTTAGTTCCTTTTCTATTGCGACTCTCTCTTTTTTCTCCCCCGCCCCCCCAATTTTACACCATCTGCCGAGTATTTTCCAGGTAGACTCATTAATCCGACTGGTTGACAGTTGCGCCTTCTCGCTTTCCGAAGGGCAGCTTCGGTCGAGGTGATGAACTTGTCTGGGAGTGAGGTTGTCAGGAAGAGCGCGGTGGCGCGCTGTCAGGTTCATTATCTCCGGAAACTACTACTCTTTGTAACCGTCAAATGCTCTCAGCTCGACTAATGGAGCTTTCCTCCTGACTCGCCTTATTACAGGAGAACGGCAGGGACCGTAAATAACTAACGGGAGGGCAGTTCGTTCTTTCTCCCGCTCCCTCCGTTGGGAGCTGCAAAAAAAAAAAAAAAGTCTCAGCCTTTTGCGATTGGTCAGAAATAACCCTTCGGGTCTAGCCAGGATGATTCTGAATTGCTCTCAAGCATATTCATAATAATAATAATAATAATAATAATAATAATAATAATAATAGAAAGACTGGCAAAGGCAAGCAAGGGTAGTACCAATAGTAATAGGCGCCTTGGGTGCAATCCCAAAACAACTGGAGCACCACTTGGACACCATCATCGGCATTGACAATTCGCCATTAGTCAATTGCAAAAGGCGGCTTTACTAGGAACTGCTTCCATCCTGCGACGAGATCTGTAATATCATCAAACATCCACGTCTGCCTATCCCAGGTCCTTGGGAAGGACTCGATGGGTGGACAAAATGCCAAATCCAGTCTGAACATCTGGCTGACTGTGCGATGACCCATAATAATAATATATTAATAATAACAATAACAATAACAATAACAATAACAATAATAATAATAATAATAATAATAATAATAATAATAATAAAAAGTTGGAAGGGGCTTGGAGGTCATCTGGTCCAACCCCCTGCTCAGGCAGGAAACCCTATACCATTTTGGACAAATGGCTGTCCAGTTTCTTCTTAAAAACTTCCAGTGTTGGCGCATTCACCGCTTCTGGAGGCAGGTAGTTCCACTGGTTAATTGTTCTCACTGTCAGGAAGTTTCTCCTTAGTTCTAGGTTCCTTCTCTCCTTGGTTAGTTCCCATCCGTTGCTTCTTGTCCTGCCTTCAGCTTTTTTTTGTAAACGGAGGACTAACGGTACTTTAATTTTTCGCGAGACGTTCGGCTTGCTGAGACGCAACGGGGGTCGCGTTCTCACGACCGGGGTGGGTGGGTTTCGACATGCCTTCTTCCCCCCTTCTGACCGAGTCTCGCTGACCGGTGTGTGTGTGTGTGTGTCTTTTCCAGATGACCAAAATGCTGGACCTGCTTGAGGATTTCCTGGACTACGAGGGCTACAAGTACGAACGGATAGATGGCGGCATTACCGGAGCCTTGCGCCAAGAAGCCATCGATCGGTTTAACGGTGAGTGCGGGGCCAACGCGGCAGGGACTGGTTCCTCGCTGTTTCCAGACGGCCTTGTGGAGCTAAGACTGAATGCGTTTCAGCACAGATGGCCACCACAAAATTGTACATTGGCTCCCGGCCAGCCTGGATCAGGGCCAAGGCAGCGGGGGCCGTTCCCTCACTGTTTCCAGGATGGCCTCGCGGGCCACATGAAACCACTTCGCGGGCCGCATCCGGCCCCCGGGCCTTGTGTTTGACATGTCTGAGTTAGATGATGCTGGGAGAAAGGATGTGAACGAGAGTCCATCTGGACATAACAACACTAAACCTAGCGTGAGAATCAAGGTTATTGTAACCGGAACTGATAAGGAATTGGGCTGGAGAACTGGAGAGGAAGCCTGCATTTCAAGCTAATTGGGGAATGTGATTTATGACTGTTAATTGTAGGAGGGAATTGTGCTTTGATACAATAAGCTCAGGGGAGGGGAATTCAGTTTTTGGCGCCGATTATGCACTGCCGATGTTACACTACTCAAAATAAAGATTCTTTAAGGTAAACAATGCCTCGAAGTTCTTCTGAAGAGCTTCATCTGTCGGAACCATGACACAAGCAAGCCGTTGCCAACCAGAATTTTCCAACAGCGTTCCGAATATTGTCCCGAAGGTGCTTTTTTTCCAGAAGGCAACTGGACTTCCTTGTTGTGCATTGTCATGCACCACCCAGTATCAAGGACGCAGCTGCAGAGGTGGTCAGCAGTATTAAGTATCTGGGAGTGCAATCTCACTTGGTCTCTCCACACGTCATCCTGAAGCGTGCAAATCAGCGTCTGCATTTCTTGCGTCGGATGAGGAGAGCACGTCTTCCTCCTTCTGTCCTGGCCACGATTGACAGCGTTTTAACAAACCGCATCACTGTCTGGTTTGGTGGCAACAGTGCCTCAGATAGAAAGTCCACACAGAAAGTTGCAGACGACACCAAGCTGGCAGGAATCGCCAACCCTCCAGAACTTACAGGCTCAAGATACAGAAGGATCTGGACAGCCCTGAACACTGGGGGCTATCTAACAAAATGAAATTCAGTGGTGAAAAAAGTATGCACAACCTGAACTAGACTGTGTTGTTTCTCTGTGTCACATAATATACGTGGGTATATGTGTAATTCCGTGCAGACAGCTGCTCATTTGCCTTCTTTTAGAGAGGTGTTGAGGCCACTTGGAGGTTTACCTGTGTCCTCAGGGTCACCTGAGGGGTGTGGAGCCTTCTTGGCTGCAGGATGTTTTTCTACCCTGGGTCCCTTCCCTGTTGGAGACGGGAGCAAGGCTGTTGGGGATGAGTCTGTTGTCTGTATCTCAAACCGAAGCCCAGATGGTTCCTGTAGTGCGCGATGTTTTCTGGAAATCCGTTCACACTCCGGCACCCTTCGAAGGGTGTCCATCCCAAAGTGCAGAGCTAAATGTCTGTGGAGATTCTCCGTCCTCCAGGTCACGGATGTGCTTTTTCATTCCGAATGTTGAATATTTCACCTTTTGTTTCTTTTTATTTTCCCTCCTCTCCCTTACTCACCAAACCATTCCTTTTTCCAGCTCCCGGAGCCCAGCAGTTCTGCTTCCTGCTCTCGACGCGAGCGGGCGGCCTGGGCATCAATTTGGCCACGGCGGACACAGTGATCATTTTCGATTCCGACTGGAATCCCCACAACGATATCCAGGCAAGTCTCCCTCACTGTTAACGAAGAGCCCCGCCAGCCTTGGGAGATCCTTGGGAGATCAGCTCAAAGCTTTTTCCCTCTGGGTTCTTCACTCTTTCGTCCCAACCCACCGAACAGGGCTGATGTGGGGAAAAAAAAGAAGAGATGGAAGGAACCGTAGGTATGTCCGCCGCCTTGAGTTCTTTACAAACAACGAGAAAGGCAAGTATAAAAAAATCGAATGAAATTATTTTGAGTCACCTTCCTCCCTCTTTTCGTCCCCCCCTTTTAGGCCTTCAGCAGAGCTCACCGTATCGGCCAGGCGAACAAAGTCATGATCTACCGCTTCGTCACCCGGGCCTCGGTGGAGGAACGGATCACCCAGGTGGCCAAGCGCAAGATGATGCTGACTCACCTGGTCGTCCGTCCCGGACTGGGCTCCAAGTCGGGGAGCATGTCCAAACAGGAGCTGGACGACATCCTCAAATTTGGCACGGAGGAGCTCTTCAAGGACGAGAACGAGGGTGAGGGGACTACGAGGGGGTTACTGTGAAACGGGGAGAGCCCCACGGGAGATTTAATGGCAGTAATCTAACCTCGTTGGCCTTTTGGAAACCCTTGAGAGGGTAAATTGGTCTGGAAGAGCTTTGAAGACCGACAGTCCTCGACTTATCAGCGTCCGGAGCTACAACGGCGTTGAAAAAAGGGGCTTGTGAGCGTTTTTTTGCCCTGGTGGCATTCCCCGCGGTCACGTGGTCAAAATTTGAATACTTGGCAACTGGCGTGTACTTATGACAGTTGCAGCGTCCTGGGGGGGTCACCTGATCCCCTTTTGCGACCTTCTGACAAGCAAAATCAACGGGAGGAGCTGGTTTCAGTCAACAGTTGTGTTGTTCCAGGAGTCTTCCAACGTGGCCCTTTGATGACTTGTGGACTTCAACTCCCAGAATTCCTCAGCCAGGCACACGTGAAGTTGAAGTCCACAAGTCATCAAAGGGCCAAGTTGGAAGACCCCTGCTTGTGTGTATATATAATGTATGTTCTTATTTCTGGTTTTTACTTGTGTGTAGTGTGCACTGTGGACAGCACTTAATTTTGTTGTGTGTTACACAGTGGCAATAAAGATACTCTGTTCCGTTCCGTTCCATTCTATTCTATTCTCTTCTTATTTCTCTTCTATTCTCTTCTCTTCTTATTTCTCTTCTCTTCTATTCTTATTTCTATTTTTATTTCTATTCTTATTTTTATTCTATTCTTATTTCTATTCTATTCTATTCTATTCTTATTTCTCTTTTCTCTTCTCTTCTTATTTCTATTCTATTTCTATTCTATTCTTATTTCTCTTTTCTTTTTTCTCTTTTCTTATTTCTATTCTATTCTCATTTCTATTTTTATTTCTGTTCTATTCTATTCTTATTTCTCTTCTCTTCTTATTTTTATTCTCTTCTTATTTCTATTCTATTCTTATTTCTATTCTATTCTTATTTCTCTTTTCTTATTTTTATTCTCTTATTTCTATTCTATTCTATTCTTATTTCTATTCTATTCTTATTTTTCTATTTCTATTCTAGTCATAAATCACTTTTTTTTAATGCCGTCGTAACTTTGAACTGTCACTAAACGAGCTGTCGTAAGTTACGGACTAGCTGGACCTATAACCATTCTGGGTTGATTCAACGGGGGAAATCCAGTCCTCCTCATCCCAGTGTTGTTGGTGACAAAAACGGGATCAAACCAGCCACGATATTTTATTCCAGGCGAGAACAAAGAGGAGGACAGCAGCGTGATTCACTACGATAACGAAGCCATCGCCCGGCTCCTGGACCGTAACCAGGATGCAACCGATGACGCCGACGTCCAGAACATGAACGAATACCTCAGCTCCTTCAAGGTGGCGCAGTATGTGGTTCGGGAAGAGGATAAGGTCAGTTGTGGTGTGGTGGCTGTTTGGCTCTAGCCCACCAGCTTGTGCAAAGGGGGCCCTGCCTATAGCTCACTCTGAGCCCCTGTAAGATGGGTGGACTTCAACTCCCAGAATTCCCCAGCCAGCAGGGATTTACCCAGCCCTTCAGCATGAGTAGGGCAAGAACATAGAACCATCAGAGTTGGAAGGGACCTTGGGAGGTCTTCTAGTCCAGTGGTTCTCAACCTTTTTAATGCCGCGACCCCAACCGGTCGTAAGTCGAGGACTAAACCGGTCGTAAGTCGAGGACTACCCAACCGGTCGTAAGTCGAGGACTTTCCCTGCCCGGGAGCGCCACGCATGCGTGGTTCTGCCCCCTGCGCCGGCCGAGGCGTAGCTGGCAAGCGGCAGAGACAGAGCAGGCTGACCACCAGCTGGCCCAGCCCAAGGGAGGTAAGGCACCCGCCAGAAAAGGGGAAAAAAATGGCGGACAAAAAAAATGGCAGACAAAAAAAATGGCGGACAGCCTTGCTTGGCGACCCCCGTGAAATGGTCGATCGACCCCAAATGGGGTCCCGACCCACAGGTTGAGAACCACTGTTCTAGTCCAACTCCCTGCCCAAGTAGGAGACCCTATCCCATTTCAGACAAATGGCTGTCCAGTCTCTTCTTAAAAACCTCCAGTGTTAGAGCACCTACAATTTCTGGTGGCAGGCAGTTCCACTGGTTAATTGTCCTCATTGTTAGGAAGTTTCTCTTCAGTTCTAGGTTGCTTCTCTCCTTGATCAGTTTCCATCCGTTGCTGCTTCTTCTCATTGTACACATGTTGCACTTTGACAATAAAGGTTGATTTGATTTGATTTGATTTGATTCTTGTCCTGCCTTCGGGTGCTTTGGAAAATAAGTTGACCCCCCTCTCTTCTTTGGGGCAGCCCCTCAAATACTGGAACAGATGTGGTTGGACTACCTTTACCGCATTTTTTTGTAACTTTCTTAATGCCTAAGTAATTTTCTTAATAGACGATGGGAACACGGTAGACGTAATATAACTTGACTTCAGCAAAGTGGAGAAGAAGAAAAAAGCCTTCTGGGGAGTGGAAGTCCACCCATCTTAAGGTGGCCCAGGCTGCGAAATGTTGTTCTCTGTGATTAATATTTATATGTATTTATATGTAAGGGTGTAGATATATACATAGGTTGTATATAGCATGTTTATATGTGTGTTAGGTGTGTGTACAATTTGGGAGCAAGCCACAGAATTTCATTTTTAATGTGTGCCTGTGTGCCCACAGTAAAAAATGACAATAAAAATTGTCGATTATCTTATCTTATCTTATATCTTACCTTATCCTATCCTATCCTATCCTTACCTTACCTTACCTTATCTTATCTTATCTTATCTTTTATCTTTCTTACCTTACCTTACCTTGCCTCATCCTATCTTACCTTATCTTCTTATCTTATCTTATTTTATCTTATATCTTATCTTTATCTTACCTTATCCTATCCTATCCTTACCTTACCTTACCTTTCCTTACCTTACCTTACCTTACCTTACCTCATCTCATCTTATCTTATCTTATCTATCTTATCTTATCTTATACCTTATCTTATCTTATATCTTATCTTTCTTACCTTACCTCATCCTATCTTACCTTATCTTCTTATCTTATCTTATTTTATCTTATATCTTATCTTTATCTTACCTTATCCTATCCTATCCTTACCTTTCCTTACCTTACCTTACCTTACCTCATCTCATCTCATCTTATCTATCTTATCTTATCTTATACCTTATCTTATCTTATATCTTATCTTTCTTACCTTACCTCATCCTATCTTACCTTATCTTCTTATCTTATCTTATTTTATCTTATATCTTATCTTTATCTTACCTTATCCTATCCTATCCTTACCTTTCCTTACCTTACCTTACCTCATCCTATCCTATCCTTACCTTACCTTACCTCATCCTATCTTACCTCATCTTATCTTATCTTATCTTATCTTATCTTATCTTATCTTATCTTATCTTATCTTATCTTATCTTACCTCATCTTATCTTATCTTATCTTACCTCATCTTATCTTATCTCTTATCTCTTATCTCTTATCTCTATCTTACCTTATCTTATCCTATCCTATCCTATCCTATCTTACCTTACCTTAACACCTCATCTCACCTCACCTTCTTATCATCTTATCTTATCCTTCTCTTCTCTTCTCCCTTCCCATCCCATCCCATCCCATCCCATCTGTTCCAATCTCTCTCCCTCTCCCTCTCCCTCCCTCTCTCTCATAGATCGAAGAGATTGAACGGGAGATAATTAAGCAGGAAGAAAACGTGGACCCCGATTACTGGGAGAAGCTGCTAAGGCACCACTACGAGCAGCAGCAGGAGGACCTGGCTCGCAACCTGGGCAAAGGGAAGCGGGTGCGAAAGCAGGTGAACTACAACGACGCTGCCCAGGAGGACCAAGGTCAGTGCTTCAGCAATGAAAAGGGGCACCGTCCGGTTCCCGCTTTCTTCTTTTATCTTTTACTTTAGGGATGGGAACCCCGTTCCGATATTCCTTTGCTTTGTCCCACGTCCACCATATCGCACGTCCACCGTAAACCCTAGTTTACCCTTAAACATTTTCCAAGATTTTTGAGCCATCCCCAAATCCCCATTTTGTGGTCGCTTTGCAAACCGGGCACGTTTCGTTTTGTTGTTTTTTCCCCCAGACAATCAGTCTGAATACTCGGTCGGCTCCGAAGAGGAGGATGAAGACTTTGACGAGAGGCCGGAAGGTGAGGTTTGCTTAGGGGGGTCTTCGTCCTGTAGGTCTGAAAGACTCTGGGGGGGTCTTTCAGAGTCTCCTCGTTTAATCCAAAATGGCCCCCTTCCATTTTTACGGCCCTCGGGGGGTGGGTGGGTCCACACAGAACGAAATCTCCTGGGCGGACCAAACTGGACATCTCCGGTGCTTTGACCTGGCAGTGCTTGCAACTTGGTTTCACGGCCCTGGATTTGTGAATGTGTGCGCGGTCCTGAAAAAACACCGCCAGGGTTGGGTTCTGATGTGCTTCACAAATGTGGCACGATTTTGCTGTCCCGGGGTAGGCCGTGCGTGGGGAGACGTTGTTCTCTGTGGCCTTTAACGCTCCCTGAGATTGGTGGCCGACGTTTTGTGACCCAACTGGGTAAGCTCCTCAGCGCTAGCAAGGAGTGGGGTTTGCGGAGGGGAGGAGAAAGAGGAAGAGGAGGAGAGGAGAGGAGGAGGAGGAGAAAGAGGACAACTGCTGTGGGGTCCTTGGTGCTCTCTGAGCTTGGTGGTTTTCCGGCAGACGTTTCGTGGCCCAACTAGGCGACCTCATCAGTGCTAGAAGGGAGTAGAGTGTGCGGAGGGGAGGAAGAAGAGGAGAACGGTGGGATTCTTGGTGCTGTCTGAGCAGGCCTTTCGTGATCCATCTCGATAACATCATTAGTTCTAGAAAGGAGGAGGAGGAGGAGAACTGAGGGGTCCTTGGTGCTCTCTGAGCTGGGTGGTTTTCTTGCAGACGTCCCATGACCCAACTAGGGAACATCATCAGTGCTAGAAGGGCGTGTGGGAGGAGGAGGAGGAGGAGGAGGAGGGGAGGACAGAAGAAGAAGAAAGAGGAGGAGGAGAGAGGAGAGAGAATGAGAGCTGAGGGGTCCTTGGTGCTCTCTGAGCTGGGTGATTTTCTTGCAGACGTTTCATGACCCAACTAGATAGCATCATCAGTGCTAGAAAGGAGGAGGAGGAGAACTGAGGGGTCCTTTGTGCTCTCTGGGCTTGCTTATTTTCTTGCAGACGTCTCATAACGCAACTAGGCAACATCATCAATGCTAGAAGGGAGTGTGGGAGGAGGAGGAGGAGGAGGAGGAGGACTGTGGAGTCCTCGGTCCTCTCTGAGCTTGGTTGATTTCTTGCAAACGTCTCATGACCCAACTAGGTAGCCTCACCAGTGCTAGAAGGGAGAGGAGGAGGAGGAGGAGAACTGTGAGGTCCTTGGTGTTCTCTGAGCTTGGCTGTTTTCTTGCAGACGTCTCATGACCCAACTAGGCAACATCATCAGTGCTAGAAGGGAGTGTGGGAGAAGAAGGAGGAGGAGAGCTGTGGGGTCCCTGAGCTGGTTGGTTTTCTTGCAGACGTCTCATGGCCCAACTAGGTAGCATCATCAGTGCTAGAAGGGGAGGGAGGTGGAGGAGGGGAGGAGAAGAGAGAGGAAGAAGAAGAGGAGAGAGGAGAGAGAAGAAGAACTGTGGGGTCCTTGGTGGTCTCTGAGCTGGGTGGTTTTCTTGCAGACGTACGTCTCATGACCCAAGAAGGTAGCATCATCAGTGCTAGAAGGAAGGAGGAGGAGGAGGAGAACTGAGGGGTCCCTGATGCTCTCTCAGCTTGGTTGATTTCTTGCAGACGTCTCATGACCCAACTAGGCAACCTCATCCGCCCTAGAAGGGTGTGGGAATTGCAGAGCCAGACAGGAAGGAGAAATGGAGGAGGAGGAGGAGGAGGAGGAGGAGGAGAAGCTGGGACTGTTCCCTAATAATGCCAGCCAGTCCGCTTTGCTCGTTTTGGGTGGAATCCAGCATTTCCTGTCATCGCTTTGGCGACTCTTCTTGGCATTCTTGGTTCCGAGGAATATCCGGCGTTGGGTATACCAACCTGGGGAACTTGGTTGACTGGTGGCAACCGGGCTATTTTTTTTTTTTTTTTTGTTAGCTTGAGACCTTTCGCTTGCTCGTCCGAGCAGCTTCCTCCGTCCGAGAAGGTCAAGTTAGGCGGAGGGGCGTGGGAATGTACCAACCGGAGGGGGGTTTCCTCCCCAAAATGGCTTGCAATAGGAGGTGTCTGAAGGTTGAATCACGGCAACTGGACGAATTGTTGTTGTTGTTGTTGTTAGCTTGAGGCTTGGCAAGGCTTCTTTGTGGAGAAGAAGGGGAGGCCTTTGGGGAGGGGGATAGGGGGCTCCTGAGCATACCTCCCCGGCGACTGAAATGTTTGCTTGTCTCTCCCGCTGGGAATGAAGGTCGCCGCCAGTCCAGGAGGCAGCTTCGGAACGAGAAGGACAAACCTCTCCCCCCGCTCCTGGCCCGGGTCGGTGGGAACATCGAGGTGAGACTCGGAGCTCTCTGGGGATGCAGTGGGAATGGTGGGGGGGGAAAGGGAGGGAGTAGGAAAGGGAGACAGAAAGAATAAGAAAGGGGGGAGAGAGAGAAAGAAAGGGAGAGGGAGAGGGAGAAAGAGAGGGAGAAAGAGACAGGGAGAGAGAAAGAGGGAGAGAGGGACACTGCCAGTGACGGTAAAAATGGTCTAGTTGCCAAGTACCCAAGGTGCAGGTGTACGTGTGTGTGTGCGTCTTGTGTGGGTGTGTCTCCCTCACACCCTCTCTTTCTCTCCCTCTCTCTCTCTCTCTCCGTCTTCCTCTTTCTCTCTCTCTCCCTCCCTCCCTCTCTCCCTCTCCCTCCCTCTCTCTCCCTC